CTTTCTCTCTCTTTCCTCCCCTTCTTCTTCGATGTCATTCTCTCCTTCTCCTCCACCACTTTTATCCCCCTCTCCTCCTCCCTTCCTTTATCCCCTCTTTCCTTCCTCCTCCTCCTCCTCCTCCCTCCCCAATCCTCTCCTCCTTCCTCTCCTCTTTTACCTCACCCTCTCTCTCCTCCTTACCCTCCTCTCCTCTTCTTCCTATCACCTCTTCCTTCCCCTTTCTCCTCTCCCCCCCCCCTCTCTCTCTCTCTTCCTTTTCTCCCTCTCCCCCTCCTTCCTCATCAATATTATCAATTTCTTTTTTTTTTCTCTCTCTCTTCATTATTATCGACTTTCACTCTGTCTTTCAAGGAGGTCACTACAACACAATGGTATGTAAGGATTCACTTTTTTGTCAATATTATTTTCTTTTGTTGTCAATAGATAGTGGACATTATTTTTTTTACCGATATATTTTTTTCATGTTGTTGTTGTTGTTGTGGGTGGCGGTGGTTTTGTCGTAGGTTTTGCTGAATACAGGCGTTTGTAAATAAAATTATGAGGGTTTTAATTATCATAGCTATATATTTTTTTATATTATCACTATTACTCTTAATATTTTCAATAAGGATTATTATGGGTATAAACTTTATTCATATTTATTCATCAGTGTGACATGAAACCACATCAACGGCATCAAACAACAACAACAACAACATAATCACAAAACAATATGATTTTCCAATAAGTACAACGTAAACGCCACACCTAATAACAACAACAAAACTTTTTAAGTAACAAGAACATCAACCAAAGAAAAACTTGACAACCACAACAACAAAAGAGAATTAGAATCGATTATAGCAAGAACAAACACGAGTGAAAATCATTGCCAACAGCAGCACCACGCCTGTACGCCCCCCCCCCCGCCCCCTCCCTCCTCTTCCTCTCCCTCTCCACTCCTCTCCTTGCCTTTCGCCCTTCCCTCCCTTCCTCTCCCTCTCTCCCCTCCCCTCTCTTTCAGTTCCCCCTCCCCTTCCTCTCCCTTTCATATCCTTCATCCTTGCTTGTCCTTACCCCTTCGCTTCCTCTCCGTCTCCCTTCCCTTCCCCTCTACTTCCTTTCATTCCTCTCTTCCTCCCCTCGTTTCCCCTCTCTCTCTCCTTTCTGCCTCACCCTCTCCCCTCCTATTCCCTCCCCGCCCTCCTCCCTTCCCTTCCTCTCCCCTCCTATTCCCTCCCCGCCCTCCTCCCTTCCCTTCCTCTCCCCTCCTATTCCCTCCCCGCCCTCCTCCCTTCCCTTCCTCTCCCCTCCTATTCCCTCCCCGTCCTCCTCCCTTCCCTTCCTCTCCCCTCCTATTCCCTTCCCCCCCCCTCCCCTCCCTTTGATCCGCACTGCAGCTTCCGGCCTCGCCTGACATGTGGTCTGACACAACATTTTTGTCAACTGACTCAACCTCCCAAACCTCACACTACCTTGTCTATGTCCGCGGATCCGTTTTGTGTGCATTCATTTTGAATGTCCGTGTGCGTGGGTGAATGTGTTTGCACCTGTGTGTGTGTGTGTGTGTGTGTGTGTGTATGTGTGTGTGTGTGTGTGTATGTGTGTGTGTGTGTGTGTGTGTGTGTGTAGAGCGTGTTTACACCCGTGCCGGTCTGTGTATACTTGTCTAGTGTGTGTATCTTCCCTTTTTTTTTCTTTTTTTTTTCTTTTCTTTTTCATCTAATGTACCTATGCTTGTGTACACGTGTGCGGCTAATGAGTATTTCCATTTTGGAATCTGTGATCCATTTCAAAGTTTCATTATTGCTATTGTTTGAATATGAATACATATTTACATTTCGTATCTAATTCTCTCTATATATATTGTGTAAATTCCCACGTGTACATCGAGAATTTGTATATACCATTTCGTACGGTAAATTACAAGTTCATTTGACCATCGGGTTTACGTGTTAAAGTGTATAGTCATCTCTGTACTTTATTCAGTCCTTCATTAAATGTACATGGGGTACTTGCTCGTCCTGTTTCGTGTATGCATAAATGAATAGTTTAATACATTCATCATGAAAATAGGACGTTACGTTGCATTTTTAAAACAGTCATTCTTCACTGTATAACTTTACCACTGAACTAACCTCCACCAATGTAATACTTTTATGTATTCGTTTTATTCAAATAGAAGTTCGGTTAGAAAGGGAATTTCTCATCACTTGAATCAAATTATCATATCTATTTAAAGTAACTTGCTAAAGACACCCTGTCAAGTCTTAAAGAACAAGATAGAACATTTTCCCATCATATTTGTTTAAAGTGACTTGCTAAGAACAGTCTCTAAAGTATTTAAAAAGGAGGCAGAATATTTTCCCAACATCTTTATTTAGAATAACTTGCCAAGGACATTATAAAGTATTAAAAGGGCATTCGATTTTCCCTTCATATCTATTTAAAGTAACTTACTGAGGACATCCCGTAAAAAGTTGAAAAAATAAGATAAAACATTTCCCCTCACGTCCCCTTAAGGAATTTGACCGAGACATCCTACGAGGCATTAAGAAAGGAGCAAGAGCAATCTCCAATCCCATTCATTTAAAGCAACTCGCTCAGGACATCTCATAAAGGATTAAAAAAGGGCAGAACCTTTCCCCAACGACGCGCATTCGTTATCGTCGGCGGCGCAACAACAATTGTTTCGCAGCGTGGCCGTCGACGCCGCCCGCAATCCACAGCAAATAACAGTGCTTTTATAGACTCCTTTGCGCCAGACAGAGCCGTGTTTACATGCTCGCGCGCAGTAAACAAGGCGGCAAAGCAAAGAGAACCGAGAACTTGCCGGGTTGTTTGTCCGGCGTTGTTTCGAGGAGAGAGAGAGAGAGAGAAATATATAAAAAAAAACTTTTGGGCTCGAACCAGCGGTCGTGTCGTTACTCCTGCTCTTCGGAAAACAGGGACGGACGGCTGTGACTCCGACATTTCAGCGGAGAAATATGTACTTGCAGCGACCAGGCGGCCCCGAAATGTCTTTTTCCATCAGACTTGCCAAGAAGCAAGATTGAAAGAGCAACATTTTCCGGTTGCGAGAATTTAAATAGTTGAGCCTCCATTACCCAGGCCAAGGGAGAGGCTGACAGCGACATACGTCCGCGGACAACGGCGGAATGTGGCCGGAGGGCGGCGCTTCTGCGGACGCTTCTGCCGCTGCTGCTGCTGCTGTTTCTGCTGTTGATTCTGCTGACGCGTTTGCCTCCGTCTCCACTTCTGCTTCTGCTCTGGATTTTGCCTCTGCTTCAGTTTCTGTTTCTGCTTTGGGTTTTGCCTCTCCATCTATTTTCCTACTTATGCTTTTGTCGTTGCTCTTGCTTGTGTCACAGTGTCTGCTTCTGCTTCTGTTTTCTCAGCTATTGCTTGCATTCTTTGCTTTCTCAGCCATTTATTTTTTTTACATGGTCCAAACAGGAGATGAGGATGGAGAGGACAGAGAGGGGTGGGGGAGGGGGGGAAGAGGGAGGGTGAGGGGGGCCAGGGAAGGATAGAGAAGGAAGAGGAAGGAGAGAGAGGAATGGGGAGGGATAAGTAGGGAGAGGTAGGATGGGATAATGGAGGTGAAGGAAAGAGGAAGAAAGAGGAGGGTAAGGGAAAGGAGGGGAGAAGAAAGGAAAGGAAGGGAGAAGAGAGAGAGAGAGAGAGAGAGGGAGAGAGAGAGAGAGAGAGAGAGAGAGAGAGAGAGAGAGAGAGAGAGAGAGAGAGAGAGAGAGAGAGAGAGGGAATAGAAGCGCTGACACCAGGCAAGGATGGGAATGAAAAGAGAAGGAAAGAGAAAGAAAGAGAAGGACAGGATTACCCAAAGCAGCATCCGACTGGAAAACATACACGTAGCCTCATGTTGGTCCAAGCTCCCATAGCGACCTCATAGCTTGACCTCGCCTCATGCCTCGTGCCTCCTCATGCCTCGTGCTTCCTCATGCCTCGTGCCTCCTCATGCCTCACCCTCGGCGCCGTCACCCCTGTGCTTCCGTCTGCTTGCTGCCTGCGACGTGCTGTGAGTTTTCCTCCAAAGTGACTTGTTTATGAGCGCCAATTTAACAGAGTTCTCTTGAGCAGTCGCAGTCTGGGGGATTAATCTCATTCTTTATTTGATTTTATTTGTTGTTTAGTGCTTTTCATTTCCCCCGTTTCGTTTTCCTTCCTTCCTTCTTCATTCTTCGTTTTTATCTATGTTTTCTTCGTTGTCTTATTTTTCTGATGGTTATCGATGTTATTATCATGACGAGGCTACTGATGATTGGTTTTATTGTCACTGTCATTATTATCATGATGATCACCCTTATATTATCATTTTCGCGATGGTGATGTTTGGCATTATTAATACCGTCATTTGATCTTTTTTTCTTGGTCTTCCTTCTCCTTCTCCTGCATTCCACTTCCCTCTTCTCCTACTTCTACCCTTCCTCCTCCTCCCCCTCCTCTTACTTCTTCTCCTCCTCCCCTCCTCCATTCTCCTCATCTGTCTCCTCTGACCCTCCTCCTCCTCCTTCTCCCCCTCCTCTTCCTTCTCCTCCTCCTCAAGCTTCTCCTCCTCCTCCTTCTCCTCACTGTAATCACAGTCATCAACTTTTCCTAAACGCAAAGCTGGTCCCTCTCTAGCCTCTGTCTCGCCCTTACTCCTTCCGAAGTGAGTAAAATGATGCAGATTCTTAATTCGATTTCCCAGCACGTTTTCTTGTCTCCTACTTCTTCTCTTCCTTTTCCTCCTCCTCCTCCTCCTCCTCCTCTTCTATCTTTCCTCCCCCCTCTCCTTCTACTTCACCTCCACTCTTCTTCCTCCTGTACTACCGTCGAGATGAGTAAATTGATGCAGATTCTTAATTCGATTTCCCAGCACGCTTTCTTGACTCCAGGAGATGGAAGGGGACTGAAAGGGGAAGGGGGGGGGGGTTGGGGGAGGGGAGATGGATTAGAAAGGTAAGTGGGGGGATGGGAAGGGATAGGGAAGGTTGGGGAAGGGGGGGGGGGGTGGA